AAAAAAAAAAAAAAGCAAAGTTGACCTCTATCCATTACTTTGTGGTGAGATAGGACAGTTCCAGAGCTCTAAGGCCACCTACCGCATGACCACTGGAAACGTAAATCCTTGTCCCTGTCTGGCCAGCCCAGAGTCACGGTTGTGAAAGGATCCACATACTGGCCAGGCTCCACGTGCACCTGCCTGTCCCCTTTCTCTCTCTGCAGAAAAAGCAGCTGGCTGGTGAGATGCCCCTCCACAATTGGTATCCTACCTTCTTCCCCACAGCAGTCTGTGCCAAGGGTAGTCGCACCATAAGGCACAGAATGGAGACAGACCCTATCTGATCCACCTGGCTCTCCTCTGGAGATGGGTCACTGGGTAAGTAACTTTAGTCTGAACATGGGCTCAGTGCTGAGTGTCCATCATGCTTCCAACTGTTACCAGGGCCTGCTGTGGGCCAGGTCCCATGCTTGATGCCTAGAGATACAAGAATAGAGACCTGGGCCTTGCTCTTCAGTCTAGGAGGGAAGATGGACAAAGAAACTGATGACTAAAACACAGAATTCTAGCTGCTACAGGAGAGGGGGGCCCAGAGAATTACGAGAACGTGTAAGAGGGAGGCAGTAGGTTGAGAACATCTGCTCCTCTGAAGAAGGTTTGATAGCATTTGATGCCTGGGTTGCTGCGGATTGAGAGAAGCTAGTGATGTCCTTCCTCTTTCGTCTGGTGCAGAGGAGGACACAGAGCTGTGACCTCTGTAAGGCGGGCAGCCAGTGTCAGGACAAGCTTCCCCAGAGAAAAAGACTACAGAGCTGTTGTGAAAGAGGAGGAGTGAGGGTAAGCTGGGCAATAATGGAGTCTGTGGGTTCTAGGAGGAGGGATTGGCAGGCATATGGTGTGTTCCTGGAGTAAGTTCTGGCAGGACCTATCAAACAGCTGGGCCTAAAGGGCTTAGTCTGGTGTAACAGGAGGCTACATGGCAAAACTCAACCCCTTGTGGTCTCCCATGGCCTAAGAATAAAACCCAAACCCCTGTCTTGGCACCTAAGACCTCATGTGATCGGGCCTCTGTCCATCTCTCTGTAATCTCCTATATGCTCTCCCTCCCCGCCCACAGGCCTCAGGACACTTCTAGCCTTGGGGCTTTCATATCTGTGCACCCAGAAAGCTCTTGTTCTGCTTTCCAGCAAGGCTGACCGTCTTATCTTCAGGTCTCCACCTGAATGTCCCAATCTACGAGGCCTCATCCGATCACATTTGCTAGGCCATGCTGTGTTGGTTGTCACTGCACCCTGTTGCTTGTAGTTAAACACTTACCACAATTCCTAATTACATGCTAATTTGTTTGGTAATTTCACCCACTAAGCTCCAAGAAGGCAGGGGCCACAGCTGTTTATTCACCTTTGTGTCCCTAGTCCCTAACACCAAGCCTTGACATTATAAACGCATAGTCTTTGTTATTGAATAAAGTACGTGCATGGACAATGTCAACAGCAAGGAGTCGGGCCTTAGTCCTGCTGTAAAAACTGAGGAACATGGGCCTGCTTCCTCATTTAAGCATTAGCAGCTATAAATTTCCCTCTGAACATTGCTTTAGCTGCATCTCACAAATTTGGATAGGTTATTTTGTCATTAACACTCAAATATATTTTAATTTTCCTTGTGAATTTTTTTTTTGATCCTGATTTTTTTTAAGTGTGCTCTTTAATTTCCGTGATGTCTAAAAGGTATGTACGTATCCCAGATATCTTATTACTGATTCGTTATATAACACTGTTCTGGTTGGAGAACATGCTTTCTGTGATTTCAGTCCTTCTGGATCTCTTTTCAAATGGAAGAAACCTCCATGCCTCCTAGTACTCTGGGTATTAGCACCAATAAGCCAAAACTCAAAACTAAAGCAGAGTTTTCAGACATCTTTTTCTCGTGAGGTTAAGTGTTTAAAAAACAAAACAAAACAACTCACATTCTTTCTCTTGGCATTTGTTCCAGACGGTTCTCGCACACTGGAAGGAGCTGTGAACACAATGAGAACAGGCGTCAGACTTTGGTAGGTGTTTATAAGGTTACCAAAGGGCAGAGTCAGAGGGCATGCTGAAGATGCCCTGGGGAGATCCACCTGTCTTGGAAATGAGTTAGGGAAATTTGGCAAGCATTCAGGTCATCAAAATGGGTAAACACCCAAACCATCATGTCCACCACTGGACTGAAGACACGTCTTCGGTTGTTAAGAAAGAGTCAGGCAGTTGCCAGTGCAAATAAAACACGAGATTTAGAGACCAGCATGTGGCTGTATGCTGTTAATGTTTAACTACCAGTTAAAGGGTGGGGAGTGGGGAGCCCTGATTTGTACCATTTACTACTTCCGGTGGTGTTTGTATTCCCACAAAGGCAGATTTCAGGCTACCGAGCTGACCTCAGTGATTATAGAGCAACAGATGCACAGAACCAGCTCTGGCAAGCTGCTAGGGCCCGGCCTCAGCACACCACAGTGCATTTCTGGGTCTTCCTGTTGGCCTCTTACTGGCTGTGTGAGCCCAGGCAGGTTAGTGATTCTTTCTGAGTCTTAGGTTCCTCACCCACGACAAAAGGCAATCCCTATCCTCAAGGCTTCAGGAGAGCTGACTGCTGTGCTTCTATACCATTGCCTTGTAATCTGTGTACGTCTATAAAGAGGGCTAGTATAGCAAGGTAAAAAAAAATGGAACATGTACACTCAGTTGATATGCCCTGAAAAATCATCGAAATGTGAATATGGTAATGTCTAGTTAAAGTGTAATGATTAAGGCAGGAATGTATTTCATCTGCACTGGCAGATCCGGGGGAGTCATTAGGCTCTCGTGTCCTGGTTAACATCTGGGTACTGTTGATCTTTACAAAATTCTCTCCCAGTGAATTCTCATTCTGAGAACTCTCACTTCGAAGGTCTATAAAATTATGTAAAGCAAAGCTAAGATGCCAGACACAGAGATTCCTTCTTAATCTTAAGGCAGATGGGCCAATAACCCGGAAGGAAGAAATCAAGAGACGTAATTGCTGCCTCTGATCCTGCCATGAATTAGCTGAGTGACTTTTGGGAAGTCAGTTCACCTCTCTGGGCCTCACATTCCATAAGTGGAAAAGGAGGGCTGTGGACAATTGCACAGACATCTGATGGTTTTGTCCCCCATCCAGGCATCCGTGCCCCCTTGTTTTGGTAACAGCACTTACGGGTGATTCTTTCCCCCGGGAAACATCCCTCCCCTGCTCTCAGTCCTTGGTTTGGGTGACGCCACCCCTACAGCATGTTCCAGGTGGGCATGTGATCCTGGTCTCCCCGAACTGAATACCACTTTCCCCTGGTCTCAGTACTGGGTCCAGGAGGGAACATGAACCAAGCTTGGACCAGTAAAGGGGGCCTCAGGACTTGGGCTAGAAATGTCAGCAAAGAGGGACTCCTTCTCCTCTAGGGTTAAGTAAGGACTGAAGCCTGGGGCCATCTTGCTACTGATGGGAAGAGGGAATCAGAATAAAGCCAACATAGAACCAAGAGATGAGAAGAGGCAGATTTCTGACAATATTGAGTGACTGGATCTAGCTGTGCCTAAACTCTGGACTTTGCCTTTCCGTTTCTTTCTTTCTTTCTTTCTTTCTTTCTTTCTTTCTTTCTTTCTTTCTTTTTCTTTTTTTAATTTTTTGATGTTTACTTATTTTTGAGAGAGTGAGACACAGAGTGTAAGCGGGGGGAGGGGCAGAGAGAGAGGGACACAGAATCTGAAGCAGGCTGCAGGCTCTGAGGTGTCAGCACGGAGCCCTATGTGGGGCTTGAATTCACGAACTGCAAGATCATGACCTGAGCCAAAGTCAGACGCTTAACCGACTGAGTCACCCAGGTGCCCCTGGCCTTTTCTTTTTGTGAGTTGATAAAATTTCCCTTTGAGTTGAGCCAGTCTGAACTGCTTTTCTGTCCCTTGCTACACAAAGAGTCCTGGCAAACACATTTGCTGTGGACTTTCAGCTCTGTGACTTTCAGCTACTGTTGGCTGCCCACCTACCAGCCATTACCCCACCCTTCTTCTTGGCTCCCAGAATCCACCTTCTTCCACAGAGCTGGAGGTGCTAGATACTTTCTTCCCAGCACCCCTTACAGCCAGGGTGGATACTTGCTGGATACTTGCTTCCCAGCACCCCTTAGAGCTAGGGTACGTGACCCCGGCTGATGGTATCTGAGGAGAAGAATGCTGGGGACTTGTGGGGAAAACTTCCCTCCTAGTAACAAGAGCTACAGAGGGGGAAACGGGCTTGTGCAGCTGCTGGATGATTCTGGGTTGACCTGCGATGTTTGGAACTGCAGCAGCCATGTTGATGAGATGCAACCCTATGGGCAAAGCAGAAACTCTGAGGGTGGCAGAACAGAATAGCAGACTGAGCCTGGGTCCCTGCCGGTGACACTGGACCGCTGAACCAATCCTGGAACTACTTACCTCCTAACTTCTCAGTATGTGACATCATAACGACCAAACTTAAAGCCACCTAGGTTGGGCCTCCTGTTGCTTGGAGCCTAAAGCAGCAAACTCGGATGTTTTAGAATTCTGTAACAGCGGTTGAATGTTTTACTGTGTACATGACAGCGCTTTAGAGTAACCAGAGAATTCTTAAAATCTACAGAGCAAGGTAAGCATTCAGAGCTCTGTTTTGAAGAGTCCCTCCCTGGATCCCGAGCAAGTGCGATGACCCAGACTGCTGGTCATGAGTTTTATAGCCCCTTGCAGAAATTCCTTGCCTGAAACAGTGATGCTTCCAATTTCCAGACTCAGGTTTGAGAAGGCATTCCTCACCGTCACCGTGACCAGAAAGGTGCCTGTAATGCAAAAGGTGGAGACTTAAGGGTGTTGCAATAAATTGTTTAACTTGTGTTGAGACAGCTCTCCCAAGCTATGCTTCCTGGTCCGCTGACAGAAGCATTTGAATCTTTCATCCTGAGCATTTAATGGACCCCTGTTGTATACCAGGCGTGGTGCAAGGCTCTGGGACACAGAGGTGAATGAAACATGGTCTTTGTCTCCAAGGTCCTTATAGTCTAGTATGCTTGCAGGAGACCAAGTGCCAACCATGGCAAGAATTGGCACGGGGGCATTGTGGACATGTAGTAGGGAGTCACTGCACTGATCGTGGTTCATGGCAAGGCTAAAGCTAAAGTTCAAAGGACGAGTAGTGCTCATTGGTCAGATTAGAGAGGAGATCCCAGCAGAAGAAGGGACATGACAGGACTTTCAAAAGACTGAGGAGCAGAGAGGGGAGAGAAGGATTTGTAAGACTCAGGGTATGTGTGTATCCCACCCTCCTCCCTCATGGGGAAAGGTGGTGGGTGCTACCTTCTTCTCTCGAGCCCAGACAGGAGCTCATCAGAGGGGACCCTGGGAAAGGTGGATATGTGCTCTTTCAGATCCGGGACCCCCATGGACAGGTTCCTTTCTCATACTCTTGAAGGATGGTCTATGACGGGGTGGAGTGAGAGGGAGAGTGGGGGCAGGAAAGGGCTGCATTCCCGTGTTTGAAAAACTACCGGTAGCTGGCCAAAGAAAAGGTGAGAATTTTCTGAGGACCAGATGTTTGTCTTGCCCCCCTCCCCAACTCAGGGACCTAGCAGGGACCTCAGAAGCCCACAGAAGCTCCTGCAAGAGGCAGCTGCAAACATCTGCTGGGCTGGTGAGCATTGGTTGGCAGGCAAGGCTGGCCAGGACCGGGCCAGCGCTGACAAGTGAGGGTCTTCCTGCCCTACCTGGTGCCCTTTCCTTCCTCTTCACCCCCTTTATCTCATCCAAATCTGTTTTTCTTGTGGGGAAAAGAGGACTACTTACCATCTAAGAGTGAGCCACAACTTCACAGGGCATGTAGAGATTTTATCTATTATCCCCTGCCAAGCGGCTTTTGTAGACAACAAAAATTAATTTGCATTTGATTTATAGCCTATATAGTGTGTATGTTTTCCATTGTCATTTCATTTCACTCTGGATTCCTCTTGTTCCAAGCTGGACCTTTGATACCTGGCAAAGTTGTAATGGTTTTCTTCTGAAACCTGTCATTTAACCTATCTCTTTTGCTAAATCTGCTGCTTGAGGGCACTGTAGCCCCACCCCGGCACAGTATTTCCACCTCTCTTACAGACTTCTGAGATCCTTGGCGGGGAAGGTAGGCAGGGTTCTGGGTGGGCTGGGGACTCTGTGACCCTCATCACATTCCTGGCTGCTGACTTCACCACATTGCCCTGAAGGACTCTCTGTTCTCTCCAGATTAAATGCAAATGTCTCCTCTAGTCTCCTCCCTTGGTGGTGCCAGCCAGTCTGTCACCCTGTCTCTATTCCAGCCAGCATCTTGACTCTTCCTCTCTTGTCCCTCCCTCTCCCACCCTTTTATCTCTCGCTCCCTGAAGGGCATGGACTGCAGATCCCCCCTGAACCACACTCTCCTCTAGAAATGATGGAAAAATTGGAATCCTTCCAACTCTCCTCCATTGGTTCTCAGTGGGGGAGATTTTGCTACCCAGGGACAGTTGGCAATGTCTGGAGGCATTTCTGGTTGTACTTAGGAGGCTGGTGCTACTGATATCCAGTGGGTAGATGCCAGTAAACACCCTACAGTGTGCAGGACAACCCCCACAGCAAAGAACGATCCAGCCCCGAACGTTAGAAGTGCCACAAGTGAGAACCCCTGTGACTCTAAGCTCTGAGGGCAGATCAGATGTCCCTTCTTATTTTATGCCCCAGGCTGGATGCTGTGAACCCCCTTTGTGTTCAGGACACACAGACACAGGCTGGCGGGACCCTGGACACTGAGTCGGGAAGGAAAGAGGAGGGAAATTTGGGAGGAGACCCACCCACCCCAAATACCTTCAAGAGGAACTGCCACAGGGTAAATCCCAAATGGTCCCTGGAGACTCTCTTCTTCATGGGAGAAGGTTGCATTGAGTCCTGCCACTTCAAAGGTCAGTCTCTCCGGTGCACCACGAGCCACCGAGACGTTGACCAGTAGGTCTTGTCCAAGCTCCAAGTGGTCGGAAGCCCAGGAGGCCCATAGCCCTGACAGAGGCTCCGTGAAGGAGACTGTGATGTTCCAGGAGGGTGCAGAAGTGGTGTTGCTGGTGGCTCGGATCTCCAGATGGTGCATCCCTGGGCCCATCCTTTGCTGGGCTGCTCTGTCCAGGGTCAGATTGTAGGGTAGCAGGCCGCTTGGTGTGGTGAACTCAGCCAGGGTTGTATTACCCGACAACACAGTGTAAGTCACCCCTCTTCCTATGTGGGGTGAGAGATATTTAAGAATGTTGGCAACAGCCATGCAGTAGATTGTACTGAGACGGTGGAGACCCAAGCTCCAAGGTCAGATTCTGGACATAGACATGGAGATGGTATAGCCATAAAGACATGCGGAAGGATAGGCCCACCCCCAAGTCTTAACAGTGATGATCTCTGAGTACGGGGTTCATGAGTGATTTTTCTTTTTGAGTCCTCTCTGCTCATCTGCATATTCTGCTCCGTGCTCTGCGTGTGTTACCCATAAACTTAAAGGTTTGTAATGAAAATATGAGGACAGGTTTGTCCTTGGAGGGTGGAAGGCTAACACAGGAGCGTCTCCCGAGGCGTGGCTGATTTTTATGCCTGAGAATTAGCCTCGAGTCTTGTCCTAAGCAGGAGCAGGTGAAGTCATTTCCTTCCACCTCCGTGGCAGACCGCCTGAAACCCTGCTCCCCGGGAACACTCAGCCTGTTCACCTTAAGATGCGGCTCCCTTATAGGTTGGGGCCGGCTGTCCTACCTGGATGCTAAATACTGTGGTTGACTCTAAAAATCTGATTTAAACCACCAAATTAGGATTCTTTGCAACAGAAGCCAAGCTAGGGTATTTCTTGTTTGAGTGATGACGATGCTAATGACAATGATAAAGACAATGATGATGGTACCTTCTGACACTCATGCTTACTGCTCCCTCTCCCCACACTTGGCAAACAGTAGGCAATTATGTTTGTAGGATAAAAACATAAATGAAGGATTATATTATGTTTCCCTGGTGCACATAGCAGCCGTCTTTGGCCAACAAGCACACCGAGACAGAGAGGAGCCCCGAGGACTGTTTCAGGACCCCGTGTTTAAGCTCCATCATATCTCTGCTGGGTGAGGCTCCAGGAGCTGTGAGGTCGGACTGAGCCATGTCCTCACCTCTGCAGCTCTGTGCCACACGGTTTAGCCCAGCAGGCTTCTGTCCGGATCTCAAACCAGACCTGTGCCCTGGAATAAAGATGCTGCCTCAGGTACGGGTGGGTCTTCGTTGGTAGGGTCTCTACTGAGAAGAGGGGTGATATTCGGAATGTTTAACAACTGAAACTACATGGGTCCCAACCAAAGAGGATGGATGTTGTGATAAATCAGAATGAACACTGTGATCAATCAGAGTAGATGCTGTGACCAATCAGAAAGGACACTTTGACTAGTCAGAATGGACATGACCAATTAAAATGGCCTCTCTGACCAATCAGAAAAGAAACTGACCAATCACAAGGGACCATCATTGTGCCAGGCTGGTCAACGCTGGCCTCACTGAGATGGGCTCAGGCCCAGCTGGTAGCTCTCCCGGTCCTATTCAGGTTCCCTAACAAGGAGTGACTTGGAAATTCTGTTCTGATGGGACTGTGGGTAAAGAAGGGCATCGGAAGGCAGAGAGCTTCACTTAGCTTACTAGCCTTGTGACTTCAAGCCAATTCCTGAACCTTCCCTCCATTTCTTCATCTGTAAAATGGAGATAATAATAGTACATACTGGGTGGGCTAGCACACGTGGAGTACTCAGACCAGTTCCGGGCACGCACGAGGTGCTAAATAAGTTGAATAGCTAAAAAACTAACTGGATACATGAGTGCTGTTAGTATTTATTAAAGCCTGGGAGTTGGATGGATAGATCTGGGGAAAATCAAGGTTGCTTTGACCTTGACCATTTCTGTAGACTTACCTCCATCAAGTACCACCTGAATCCACAGAGGTTCCCCGAAGACAGTGCGGCAGAGAGGGCTGGCTCCCAACGTCGACAGGCCGGAGCACCCAGTCACGCTGAGCCTTTCCGTCTTGTCTCCAATTGTCACGTGCTTCTGAGCCATCACATGCCACTCACTGGTTGTGCACTCGGCAAACACAATAAATTCCCCAGGGACTGTGAACTGGTGGGTCACGTTGCTGGATAAACTGCCAGCAATAGTTAGTGTTGGCCATGTTGGGGACACACAAACACATGCATTCACACACGTGTGCACATATGCACTCACCTACCTTGCACCTCCCCTGCCCTGCAAAGATAAACAGGTGAAGAAAGAGATGCTACGTGACCAAGCCCTTGGTATTCACAAAGGTTACGTTGAGATGTCTAGAGCAGGTGGGAGTGGAAGAAATAGCAGTGACCAATCAGGGAGTTGAATGTTTGGTTACACGTCCTTTTTCTGCTATTTATTCCCTCTGTGGCTCATATAAATCCCCCTCGTCTGTAAAATGCTACGCCCCAGCCTACCTTTCTGAACCATATTTTCCCCATCTGTAAAATGGGGTCATATTCCAAATGTATCAGAATGATAGAAGCTTGGCTTCTCATTTCGCCGAGAGAACTGATTGAAAATCACCAATGTGGCCCATAAAGACCCACATGACCTCCCTTCTTGACCTCACCCCCATCTCCTGCCACACCCCTCCCAGCTGTATGTCCGCTCTGCCCTCTTTTTGGTTCCTGGAATGTGCCACCTCCCATCTGCCTCAAGGCCTGCAGGTGTGCTGTTCTTTGCTGGGAAGGCTCTTGGCTCGTCTGTCTGCTCACACTCTTGGTCTTCCTTTGGTGCTCAGCTTAAACATCACCTCCTCAGGGAAGCCCTCCTTAGGTTCCCCATAAAGGCAATGCTGTAGCTCAGCTGCTTCTCCTGGGTGACACTGATTCCTTGTGTGCTTGCTCCGCCACTGGCATTCTTCCCCGCTAGGTCGTCTGCACAGACGGTGTCTGTCTAGATCTCTGTTATAAATCCGGCACCTAACACAGCGCCTAGCATAGAGGGCGTGCTGAGAAATATTTGACAAATGAGCATATTTGTGAAAAGGCTTGCAAAACGGTAGCTGGATTTTTGGCGCCTGCCAAGAGTAAAGCCACCACCTGTCTCTTCCATTGATTACGACTTAAGGCAAAATTCAAAAAGAAACTTGCTGAGGACTCTGAAAAGTAAACAACAGCAGACAGACTGGGGAGGAAAGCCCAGGCTTTAAGAATTACTCGTAAAGATGGGACTTTCCTGTTTTGTGTCTTTTTTCTTTTTTAATCTCCTTTATATCTTGACTTTGTCCCTAGGGTACCCTGAGTCATGGAACTGTACAATGAATGAAGAAAACAAAACCCCCAAGAGAAATCCCCTCTGTTTAGCCAAGAGAACCAGGAAAAGAGACCCAGTGAGTCTGAGGGCACAGCAAATAATACCTGGTTTTGTTTTGTGTCATTTCTCTTTTTCTCTCTTTTGGCCATGCCCTAGGCTGTTCTCCCTCTTGGAGCTGCACTGACAGTGTAGGGTGATGCAGACACCTAATTCCCAAGAGAAAACCCATCTTTGTATCCAGAGGAGCCGTGAAGAGAGATGTGTGGGAGCTGAAGATTGTGGGGGAGACCCTGAAAATGAGAGATGTGGAGAGGAGGGGCCCCCACTTCCATGAACAACCCAGCACAAACTATGAGCTCACTCACATATTATGCACGTGCAAAGTAGAGCCAAAGACACACAGCCAAGGCTTTGTTTGAGTCAGACTACAACATAACACCATCCTGAGTGTCCCATGAGTGGGGCCAACCCAAACAGGTTTGGAAACGACACCAACATGGGAACCACCACTCACAGAAGGCAAGTCATAAAGTGTGGTCTGAACCTAACCAGGTGGGTTGCCTGCTAAAACAAAACAAAAATCTATTTTCCAGAGGATTTTAACTGGATCCAAAGTCTCAGAACCTACTATCAAAATGTCCAGAATATCATCCAAAATTGCTTGATGATACACAAAGAATGAGGAAAATCTGACCCAATCTCAAGTGAAAACATAATAGATGTCAGCTTTCAGGTGACTCAGGGGTTGGAATTATCAGACAGGCTTGAAATCAGCTATTTCAGCCATGCTCCATGACATAAAAGTAAACCCTCTTTAAATGAATGGAAAGCCAGACATTCTAAGCAGAGAAACAGAAACTTTTTTTTTTAATGAAAATTTTAGAAGTAAACAGTATCTGAAATAAAAAATTCACTGGATGCTTGCAATAGCAGAATAGTGATGACAGAAAAAAGTCAGTGAACTTGAACAAAGAGCAAGAGAAAGTATCTAAGCTGAAGAAAAGATTAAATAAATTGACATCTTAATAAAATATTAAATTTTTAAAAATGAGTAGAGCATCAGCAACCTGTGTGACAATATCAAAAAAGAAAGCAGTTGTGTCATGGGAGGACCAGTGAGAAGAGATAGATCGGTGTAGAAAAATACACTGAAGAAATAATGGGTGAAAACTTACCCAGTTTGGCAAAATACATACATGTAAAGATTCAAGAAACTCCATGGATCCCCCACAAAAGGGGAAAAGTTAAAGAAAACCGTGCCCACACATACAGTAATAAAACTGCTGAAAATCAAAGGTAAAGGAAAAAAAAATCTCAAAACAAGCCTGAAAAATGACACATTGCATGTAAAGAAAACAGTGATGTGACTGACTGTAGATTTCCCTTCAAAAGCATGGCAGTCCGAAGACAGTGACAACATCTTTAAATGTTGAAAGAAAAGAATTGTCAACACCTAATTCTATATCCAGCAAAAATGTCCTCCAGGAAGTGAAGCAAAATAAAGACGTTCTCAGGAATAAAGAAATCCTCTAAGAGAATTTGTTGCCAAAAAGTCTATAAAAGAAGTGTTTAAGGGGGTTTTTCCAGCAGAAAAGAAATGGTACCAGAGGGAAACTTTGAATTTCAAGGGTGAAGGAAGAGCACAAGTAATGGTAAATATTTTGGTAAATTCATAGACTGGTAACATTTTGGTAAATTCAGGCCCCTCTGTGCTGAGCTGTCAGCACAGAGCCTGGAGCCTGTTTTGGGTTCTGTGTCTCCCTCTCTCTGCCCCTCCCTGGCTTGTGCTTGCTCTCTCTCTCTCTCTCTCTCTCTCAAAAGTAAATAAACTAAAAAAAAAAAAAAAAAAAAGAGAGAGAGAGAGAGAGAGAGATTTTCAATATATGTAAATGTCCTACATATGACAACTATAATATAGACGAGGGTGAGCAAAGGGACCTATATGCCAGTAAAGCTTCAACATTTTAATGAAGTAAAATATGAACTCCATATAGACTGTGTAAGGTTGGATATGTATATTGTAATCCATGAAGCAACTACTAAAAAAGTAATAAAAAGATCTATAACCAAAAAAGCTGATAGATATGTTAAAATGGAATGCTAAAAATATTCAAATAATCCAAAAGAAGGCAAGAGAGGAGAAGAACAGAGGGAAAATAAACAGAGGAGCAAACAGAAAACAAGAAAATAGTGGACCTAAATCCAACTATATCAATAATTACATTACTTATAAATGATCCAAACACACCAATTATTGTGCCAGATGGGATTAAAAAAAAATTCTCAACCATAGACTGTCTATAAGAAGTCCACGTTAAATATAATGATAAGGGGGCACCTGGGTGGCTCAGTCAGTTAAAGCAGCTGATTCTTGGTTCCAGCTCAGGTCATGATCTCATGGTTCATGGGACTGAGCCCTGCATTGGGCTCTGCACCGACAACACAAAGCCTGCTTGGGATTCTCTCTCTCCGATTCTCTCCCCTCCCTTCTCTCTCCCTGCTCATGTTCTCACCCTCACTCTCTCTCTCTCAAAATAAATAAATAAACTTTAAAAAAATTAATAAATATAATGACATGGATAGGTTAAAAGTAAAAGTATAAAAGTTTCACCAGCAAACACTAATCAAAAGGACGCTGGAGTAGGCTCTACTAATAACAGACCACATGGATTTCAGAACAAGAAAACACTAACTCTTTTCAGTCACGGGAAGGATGGTTTTGAATAGCAAAATCTGGGCTGTTTTTCAGGGATCTTGCTGGGAAAAGTGACTCATTCCATTCCTTGAGCTCTCCTGCCAACTGAAAGTGCTCAGGAACGAAAGGCAGAGAAACGGACTTTTCCTGATTTGTCTCCCAGTGATCTCACTGGAGGCAGAAGACAGCAAAGTGCTTTTAGAAACTGCTGCCAACAAAGGGAAGATCTGCTCGGAGTACAAAGCAATGGAGGCAACAACCTAACATTTTTTGATGATCCTACGAGCCAGCAGTGCCATTCCTGGGTGCAAACCCAACAGAAATGCAGCAAAGACATGCGCTCCAATGTTCACAGCCACATAGTTTGTAATCGTCCAAAGGGGAAACCACCCAAAAGGACTACCGGCACTAGAAAGGAATAAGTAAAGCAAGGGATATCCATGTGATGGAATGTTCTACAGAAATGAGAACAAAGAAGTCACAGTTATACACAACAATAGGATACATCTCAAAAATGTACTGTTGAGAAGTCAGACACAAAATAGAATACACTTTATGATTCCATTTATAGAAGTTTCGAACGGGTCACGCTGATCGACAGTGGTAGAAATTGGTAGACTTGGGGGCCCCGGGAGGACTCTTGGGAGACTGGTCATATTTTGTTTCTTGATCTGAGTACAAGTTACATGGGTGCAGACATTTCACTTTGTAGAAGTTAACTGAGTTGTATCTTTTTGTGCAGTTTTTTGTACATATTTATGCCTCAATAAAAAGTTTAAAACTTAGTCGAAGACACTGCCACTCACTGATTTGCACATGCTGCTTTGATCGTTTACGTTAATGGGATGTGGCTTTTCTTTAAAAAGAAAGAAAATGGGGAAGAGAGCTCACATTTTTTATCTTTGCTCAGAATGTCCAATTGTTAAGAATACCAAGGTCTGTGCCATTTTGTTAATGTCACTCACAAGTTGTTAGCCGGCTTGGTGGATAAAGCCACCTGACCAAATTGGGCAGTGTGGTAGAATGGAAAGGGTAGAAAGCCGGAAGTGAGGTCTCCAGAGCTCCGTCAGTCACCTGTGTAACCTAATGACTCAACCACTCTGAGTCTCAGCTCCCTTGTCCATACAATGAGGTGAGAGCCATTCCTGGCTGGGTCGTTGTGAGGTTTAAATGAGACCATGGCTGAGTAAGTACCTGGTATGTGATAGGCTCAGATATTGTGGGGTTTTGTGTGTGTATGTGTGTATAATAGGATGGCATTTATGCCACTTAGCCTCTTAAAAATAAAAGTAGTATATGCTTCTGTAATATTAACATAATGGCAACAATTACCCATTTTTAAGAATCAACTCTGTGCCAATTATTTTCTTCTTTGTAGTCCCATTTAGCCCTTAAAATTACCCAGTGACTATTAGTAACTCTTGCAACAGTATTAACAATCACAGATCATGTAGCCAAATGGCCTAAATATTCTTAAGTATCCTCTGTAGTGGATGTGAGTCACCCAGATTCTGCACTTCAAGGCCGAGGTCTGCCCCTCCCCAGCACTCTGATGTGTTAGTGGCCAAGGCCTCACAGATGAATCCATCTCCAGGAATTCCCCTTGGCCAAAGGGAGCAGCCTCCCCACCTCCTCCCCTGCAGGGTGCCTTCCTGCATCCCATGGCTGCTCTGTGCCAGAGCGCTGAGGTTCCACTCTCTTGCCTCAGTCCCGTCAGGTCCCGGCTCTAGAGTTCTCTGTGGGGATGGGAAGGGCCTGTGTTGCTAGTGCATCCCATTGTACCTTCTGCCCCTTCTCCATCCTGGAACCCCCCTCCCCCGGGAAACCTGCTGTACCCCAAATCAGTTTCCTGGTGCCCAACCTACATGTTCTCCTAAAAACAATTTCTCCAAACTGGCTGGCATATCAAGGCTCTTTATCAGCAGACTCCTTTTGAGTTTTCCAGCAGTATCTTTCATTTTCCCCCACATACCCTGAACTCCTGCTGTAACGCGAGGTGCTCGCAGTTACCTGAGGAGGCCACGCCCCTTCACATCCCTGTTGTCCCTTTCTCTACCTCCATACTTCCTGCCTGGCTCCCCCGAAAGACTTCAGTCCTTTATGACCATAACCTTCCACATAATTCCTCTGAGCTTCCCAACATCCTGTGTACATCTAGGTCCCTCTAAATTTTGTTCTGTCTTAGGAAATACCGATTTCCAGGGAAGCGGCCCCTCCAGATTCAGCTGTGTGTGGAGGCAGCTCTGAATAGACCCCAAAATGACGGCAATCCCCTGATCTGTCGGTAGGTGGCGCTGAGACACCCAACGCTGGACAAGGACAAATTTCACCTTCGCAAATTGGTCCAGGAGGCACACAATAAATTACAGAAACGTATAAAGTTTCCTACAACAAACAGTAAAGCAAAACAGCTTGACATTCAAATGAACACAATACATCGGGAGTGCAAGGCAAGAAGAATCTAAAGGAGAAATCCTTTGACTTTATTATGTTGTTTCTATTTCAGATCGGATTCCCCATTAGCTCATGTTGTTTGTCTGCAGTAGAGAGGAAGTGGCCCATTTAGGTCTTAGCTTATCATGACTTAAGCAAAAGTAGGATGCCATACAAACACATAAAAGCACAGCGACATTCACGCAAGGTATGTGACTTCTGTGAACTTAAAATTCATGCCATTTTTAATATTCTAGGTTGAGTGCTGAGGCTGCTATTGCTGATAAGGAAGCATTGGAAATGGATCTCCCAAAATTAACCAAAATGACAGAAGAAGCTGAGTATTTTGGCCTCACCATCCAGAGTTGACTAATACTAGCATTTTGTCTCATTTGCTCCAATTTGTAGCTACTGTTTGTTTGTTTATTACTGGAATGTCTTTGTGTAACTAAAGGTCTTAGCAGGGCTACCGACAGTCGACTTTGACGAATGCCAAATGCAAGTTGTTTAAAATTTGGGGGCCGGACGATTGTATAGCTTAGCATTTGCTGTTTTTTCATTGCCATGGTAGCAAGCAGGAAGAAACCTGCACAACAAGGTCATGGGTATTTGTATCACTTTTGTAACATTTTGTAACATTTCCCCCAAAGCATCTTCACATGTAATTTCTCATTTTACTCCACGAAACAAGGCAGCCACCAATATTAATGCCACAGGGAAAGACCAGAAGTTGTCTCACACACGTTAGCAGCAGCTGGGATTAGAACCTTAGCTTCTGGACATGCCATTTTATATGGCGGCACAGCACAATGTCTGAGGCCTCAGAGGACTGTTGAGTGTGAAACTTTCCCTCACTGGGGCAGAATTGGGCCAGGGACAGGGCTGGCCCCTCTTGGCCCCACCCCAGCCAGGGCTTCCAGCAATGCTGAGCATGTGCAGGACTGGATTCAGAACCTCTAGCTCCCCACAGGGTAGAACTGCAGATGTTTAGGGTTAGGAAAGGGGCTTATGAGCCTCCATTATTTCCCTGGGGATTCATGTTGAACTGAAGACCCCTGTAAGAAGCCCCCAACCCACTGAGGATCTGGAAATTCTGGATCATTCTGGGGGCACCCAGCAGAGCAGAATGGAGCTTACCCCAGGCCCAGTAGGACTTGGAAATGTTATGAATTGAGTTCAGCTGCCATCAGGCTGGGGAGGTTCGGCTCTCCTAGAGGATGCAGAGTATAATGCCTTCATGCCGTGTAATCTGCCAGGGGCTTGAGGGCCTCAGCATTTATGCCAGACAGTCCTGGCTTGTGTTACCATGTTGCCACTCACAAGCTGTGTGTCTTGGGCGCTGCCACTATACCTCTCTGATCCTCAGCTGCTTTGTCCATGAAAACAAAATAACAGTTACCTAGCTCAACACTGTCCAATAGAAATACAGTGTGAGCCACCCATGTGTATGTTCTAAGAGCCACATTGAATAAGTAATACATAAAATTAATTTTAATAATTTATTTTCTTTAACCCAATATATCCAAAATACTTTCATTTCAACATGTAATCAATATTTAAAAATTAGTGAGGTACTTTACATCTTTTATGAGAGGTTGGTGAGGGGCGGATGAAATCTTCAAAATCCCACGTGTGTTTTAATTAACAGCATATCTTAATTAAGACCTGCCACATTTCAAATACCCAATAGCTCATGTGGCAAGTGGCTGTTCTGCCGGATAGCATAGATCTAGCTGATAGGGTTTGTAGTGACGATTAAATGAGATTATATGTGAAAGCTGCTTGGCTGGACTGTTATGAATATTGCTACTATTATTGTTTGTTATTCTTGCCAACAGAAAACATTCCCACATCCATGCGAGCATCTTTTTCACATCATTACCAACTCCTTGGACAGTGACCCAGGAGCGATTCTACACAGAGCGAACCCATAAGGACCCAGCTCTTCAAGACTGTTCATGTGGCCTCCATAGTGAGAAAACCTGTGCATGCCATTTCTGTACGTATGCCCCTTTGTACTGTGGCTCTGCCATTTCTTCCATCAACAGGTGGAGTCTGTTTCTCCACCTGTTGAGCCTGGGTGTGGCCATGGAACTTGCTTTGGCCAATGAGACATTAGAAAATGTGATACAAGTAGAGATTTTAAAAATGCTTGCACAGTAGGCCTTGTTCTCAGTTGCTGCTAGAAACCCTCTGCCACCATGCCAGTGAGGCTAGACTAGCCTGTTGGGTGATTATTATGCAATACATGCCCCTAGCCAACACTCAGCTGACCACCAGACATATACATGAGGACTTCTGAGGCCATGTGCCCCCAGCAAGGCTGGCCCAGATAAGCAAAGCCACCTAGCTGACCCAAAGAGCCATGAGGAATAATAAATATTATTGTAAGCTACTAAGTTTGGGGATGTTTTGTTATGCAGCAGAAGCTGACTGATACATCCTGACTCAAGGCTCAGAGATTCCTCTTACCTGGGAGGGTAGTAGGGATCAAAAGTGTGGCCATCTCCTGTACTAATTATACACGAAAGGTTTCCAATGTAGGGAGAGAGGAGCCATGTCAGGGAGATGGTGACATTGTCAAAGATGAAACTCTCATTGGACACCATCAGCTGTAGGCCTGCAGATCAAAAAGGAAAATGCTATATGCCATCACAAAGCAAAATTGCATGCTTCTGTTTAAAACATACTCTCTTCTATCCACCTGTCCTTTATCTTTAGGTGGGGCTTTTAAAATTTTTATAATTTTATTTTTACTTTTTTTAATGTTTATTTTGAAAAAGAGAGAGAGAGAGAGGCAGGGGAGGGGAGGGGCAGAGAGAGAGGGAGACACAGAAGCTGAAGCAGGCTCCAGGCTCTGAACAGTCAGTACAGAGCCCGACGTGGGGCTCGAACCCATAAACTATGAGATCATAACCTGAGCCAAAGTTGGACGCTTAAATGACTGAGCCACCCAGGCACCCCTGTTTTTACTTTTTAAAGTTCTTTTAAATTTTATATTTCGTTCATAGGTAATACATGCCAAGGTACAGAATTTGAAATGTATAAAGGGTATAGAGTGAGAAAAAAGCCTCCCTCCCCTGTCATCCTGCAGTGTCCCCAGAGGCAATCATTGTTACCAGTATCCAGGGTCACCTTCCAGGGATACCTACACATTCTAAGCACATACATACTTTTCTGTTCTTACAAATGGTTCATGCTGTGTTCACTATTTGGCATCTTCCTTTTTTTTTTTTTTTTTTTTTTTTTTTTTTTTTTTCACCTAGTATATGTTGGAGATGGTTTTGTATGAACTCAGAAGTGCCTTGTTCTTTTTTTTTTTTTTAATTTTTTAATGTTTATTTGTTTTTGAGAGAGGTAGAGAGACAGAGCGTGAGCAGGAAAAGGGCAGAGAGAGAGAGGGAGACACAGAATCCGAAGCAGGTTCCAAGCTCTGAGCTGTCAGCACAGAGCCCCATGTGGGGCTCGAACCCACGAACTGTGAGATCATGACTTGAGCTGAAGTCACACACCCAACCAACTGAGCCACCCAGGTGCCCTTGCCTTGTTCTTTTTAATAGCTGCACAATGTACTCTAATTTATTTAACCAGGATTCTATTGATTGTCTAAATGTATTTCATCATGTTTAAAGAGACAAAAAAGCCAAGCACCTTTAGGAAGATCTACTTGGCTAAGGTGGCCAAAGATTCATTGTAAGCCATTTAGTGCACATTACATTTTACAAAACCTGAGCTTTCAAAACTGTTATGGAGGACAGGGAGGGGCATAGAATTTGCTGAGGCTTCCCACAGCCCCCGGCTAATTTGTGCAGCAGAATCTTTCAGTTTCTGAGCACAAATGAAGAAGGAAAAGATAGAAGAAGCTGAATGCACATCAAAAGGACTTTCCAGAGCTAGTCAGAAAGTCTTCGTGGTCCTGATTCATAGCTGCCTGAGGACACGCAGGCAGCAGCGAGGCCTTTCTGAGCACTGTGGCGGGGGTGGGGTGGGGGGCACAGCAGTGGGGGGACTGCCGGATAGAATCTCTCCCTTTACAAATCAGAAACACTGTGATTAGAGCACACCGGTTCACATGGGGGCAGGATATTTGAAATCAAAATTGGGGCAGAAAATTTGGTCCGGGGTCACCAGACCAATACACCCCCTGGCCTAAGCGATGCATTTGTCCAATGACAGCCACACTGAGACTGGCAGATCTCCAAAGGGCACCCTTTGTCCATTAGCAAAACCACCAACCGGAAAGCACTGCCAAAACACGTGGCCTCTTCTTCCCAGAAAATAGAACGAAGACGTCCCGCTCCCTCTTACTCCACCCAGGCATCTCCAAGACACTAATGGCGCTGGTAAAACTTGTCCCCTTCTCTCTGTAGTACCCCCCCTTCTACACCCATGGACCCTGCTGTCCTGGATCGTCCCTGGGGACCCCAACATTCCCTGACTCGCTCTTCCCCTTCAGAGCTCCCTGCACCGTCAACTCATGTTCTCAGTGGAAAGTGTGTTGTGACTGATTTTCTGGACGGTGGCAGAACGTTGCCTTAGGGGGAAGCAGAGCTCTCATACACGGTTAGTAGGTGTGCAAATCAGCGCGGCCACTTTGGAGTGTAATTTAGCAGCATCTTTGAACATTTAAGCTGCACATACCCTGTGACCCAGCATTCCCTGTACTAGGGACCTCTCCTCTAAACAGAATCCGGCACATGTCAAGATATACGCACGAGAATGAGTGCTGCAGGGTGCACCTAACAACAGAAAATCTGAAGCAGCCTAAATGTCCGTCAACAGGGGACTGGTTCAATAAATTTTGACATGATCTTATGATGGGGTACTATGCAGTCATTAAAAGAATAAGGTAGTGACTTGGAGAGATGTCCAGAATATATTATTAAGTAAAAAAAAAAAAAAAAAAAAAAAAAAAAAAAAAAAAAAAATGGAGCTGTAAACTAATATATTTTAAATGATTATAACTTATGTATGTACACTCATACACAGCCATGTCTGAAAACAGTTTAAAAAGCAGGGAAGAGGGGCACCCAGGTGGCCTAGTCAGTTAAACATCCAGCTCTTATCTCGGCTCAGGTCATGATCTCACGTTTCATGAGATCAAGTCCCATGTTGGGCTCTGTGCTGACAGCTCGGAGCCTGCTTGGGATTCTCTCTCTCCCCCCCTCTCTCTCTACCCCGTCCCCACTCATTCTCTCTCTGTCTCTCTCATAAATAAATAAACATTAAAAAAAATAAAGAGCAGGGAAGAACTTACAGTAAACATTTAGCAGTGGTTTCCTTAGGAGGAGTAGGACTGGAGAATTGAAGGGAGGAATTCTTCTTTCTTGATTTATGACAGTTTTATAAATTGTAATTATACATGTTACTTTTAGATCTTTCAAGTTTTTTTTTTTTTTTTTTTTTTTTAGATCTTTCAAGTTTTTAAAAGTTCGTGTGTGATCTAAAATGCAGCCTACGGGCAGGGCAGGGCGGTGGCCCAGGTGGGTGTGGGGTCGGGGAGTGAGACATCTTTTGGCTTTCTTCTGTCAAGCAATGCTGGCCTTATCTGATGTGTTTGTTGGGCCACTCCAGGAAACTGAACTTCTGGCTTGATGGCTCATTTCTGCAGCAGGAGCCTCAGAGTCTTTACCCCAAGAGGCTAAGCCGGGTGGGGAGGTCAGGCTGCAGGGCACGAGTGGTGGGTGAGGAAGTCTTAGTACACAGATCGACGCCCAGGGGTGTCTTCTCCCAGTGCTCCAAGTGGGGCTGGACCTGGTGTGGAAATCGGGAATTCCCATGGCTAGGCAAGCTGGGGACTCACCTTCCTGGCACTCGTACTGCACCCACAGGTAGCTGCCCTGGGTGGGGCACGGGTCTCCGAAGTAGGTCCCATCTGCGGCCACCTGGCACACCTGCAGCCCCTGGCACTGGCCTGGGAAGTGCCCGAATCCCAGAAGGAGCAGGAACAGCAGGAAGGACAGAAAGGGACAGGTTCAGACAGAGATGAATGGCCTCTCATTCATTCATTCACCCACCTTCCACCCCACAAATATCTGCTGGTGTCCACTGAAGACCAGGCAGGGGCCGAGGTCCTAGGGGGAGAGAGAAGTAGGATTCTTTCCCTCAAGCAGCTCAGGGGCCAGCACAGGGGTTCTCAAATCTTAGAATATGCCAGAATCTTCTGAAAGGCTCTGGAAGATAGAGATTTCCAGGTCCCACCCCCAGTGCTTCTGATTCAGTGGGTGTAGATGTCAGCTTAAGAATTTCCTTAGAATTTCTAGAGGCACCTGGGTGGCTCAGTTGGTTAAGCATCTGACTTCAGCTCAGGTCATGATCTCACAGTTAGTGAGTTCAAGCCCCAAATCAGCCTTACTGCTGTCAATATAGAGCCTGATTCAGATCCTCTGTCCCCCTTTCTCTGCCTGTCCCCTGCTGACTGACACACTCTCTCTCTCTCTCTTTCCTTCCCTCCCTCCCTCTCTCAAAAATGAGTAAACATTTATAAAAAACTGTTTACTTTTCTAACAAGCTCCCAAGTGATGTTGATGCTGCTGGCCCTGGCACCCCACTTTGAGAACCACTGGTCCAGTAGCATCCAGTCACATGGCCTGAAGTAGGAACTTTCGTCCTGAGAACTGGCAAAGAGGGAAAAGATCAGGAATCCCATCCAGGTGCCCACAGGAAGGAGAAGTGTGGAGAGCCCAGGCCAGAAACTTCAGGTCACCTGCCGTCTCTCCCTCCTGCCCATGCAGATGAGTTACATGCCTACACAGAAGCCTGGGAGGAGTGACAGGTGGGTGAGGTGCCCCAGGATGTAGGAATGAGTTCCCATTTCCTGCTGGCTGTCAGCCGGATCCGCCCTTAGCTCTCAGAGGCCATTTTCCAGTCCTTGCGCGTGGCCCTCCATTGTTATCTCAGAGCCAGCAGTAGGGTATCAGACCTGTCTCACACTTAAACTCTGATTTCTCCATTGGCCACATCTCTTTTCTGCCTTTGGCCAGAGAAGGTTCTTTGCTTTTAACGGATCATGTGGTTACATTGTGCTCACTTGGATAATCCAGATTAGGAACCGTAACTACGTCTGCAAAGCCCCTTTGCCATGCAAATTAACACATTCACAGGCAAGGTATCTCATCACACCCGGAGCCCCAGGGATTGGGATGGCAAATCTTGGGGGCCATACTTCTGCCTTCCCCAGACAGGAAGACATAAGAGGGCAGAGGGCTTTTTATCCTGTGTTTTCATCCTCTCTCTGACTGCAGCTCCCTCTGGATAGGCCCTCCCTCATGGACCTCGCTCCCACAGGGCAGCCTCCACCATGATTCTAGCACTTGTGGGATGGCCCTCACTTCTGGTTTTGGTGAGACCATCCACTCAGGTTGTCCCTCTGGCCCTTAGGGGTAGTGGTGACTTTCCGTGGCTGCTTGTGTCAGGGTGGTATCATCATCCCCTGTTTGACTTCTCAGCACTTCCATGACTGGGCAACCAGCTCCCTGCATTAAATTCCCTCTGTTGAAAGACCTAACATGGTTTCTGTTTTCCTAATGGGACTCGGCTTGATATACCCCTCAGAGTTCTTTGCCCCTACTATGTGCATCCACAGCCGTATACTTCACTGTCCAAGAGAATGGGAGCATTTTGTTTTGTTTTTGTTCACTGCTGTATCTCCAGCACACAGAACAGTACCCAGCACCTAGCAGGTACAAAATGGTTTTGCATGAGTAAATCCAAAGCACCTTTGCTCTCTTCTGTTATGGCATGGAGCACAGTGCTAGGCCATTGCTTGTATTCATCATCTGTCTCCCCATTAGACTGCAAGCTCTTTGAAAAACAAACTGTCTGATTCATCCCTTTATCCACAGAGCCCAGGATAGAGCATGGCATGAGATTGGGCTGAACGAATGTTTACTGACCGACTGGCTGAATGAATGAGTGAGCCTGCTACTTAGATACAAACGGATCCCCCCCAGACCCTGCCCACATCTCTTCCTCTGACCTCTCCCAAGAGGATGCAGGGTTCCCCTCCAATTGCTCTCTGGGGTGTGGCCGCAAGGTTTGGAAACTTGCATCTGGGCCTTTGGGGAAATAGACCACTCAGCCCCCTCCACGCCTCCATGAGGGAGGCACATCTGTCAGCCCATCCAGCCCAGGCCTTTCCCGCTCAGAGGGGCCACAGCCTCAGGAAGGCCAGAGCAACAAGGAGAGTGAATGGGAGTCACATGGCTGAAGTCACTATTTCCTTCCCCCACACCTGCCCCGGGGGGCCAGGGACAATGCGGGCCAGATGTGGTGGGGAGAACAGTATTTCCTTCCCCCACACCTGCTCCCAGGGGATCAGGGACAGTGCAGGCCAGACGTGGGGGGAGAAGAGCAAGTCGCTCTCCAGGCAGAGGGAGCATCTTCCCCAAGTCGGGGATGAGGCCGCTTGGCAGGTTCTGAGAATACAGGGCATTCCTCCTGGAATCTTCACAGGGCCTTTGGGTGGAGGCAGGGGCCCTCAGGGAATTGCCGAGAGACGTATGTGGGGAGACTCAGCCTGAGGCCCCAGAGCTCCCAGCTTGGGCACAGACTATCGTGTCCTCACTTGGCCAAGAAAGCAACAGACTGTCTGCCTTCCTGGGACCCTGCAGGCCCAACACTAATAACCACAGCAGAGAGGAGGGGAATCCCTACGTCCTGGACAATAAAGGTTTCTAAGACCTTTGTGTCCCCCAGGAGGGTGCAGGGAGCCCCTGTAATTTCTGAAACTGAGCCCTTGTCACCAGGCAAATGCAGCTCACAGGCAGATTTAATGTGATTTAGAGAAACAAGGCCATAGAGAAACTCTCCCACATGGACAAGAGTTGCCACCACGATCGTGTGTTTCAGCATTATTCACAATAGCCAGGGATTAGGACACAACCCATTCAACTCTCAACAGAGAAAGAGACGAATTATGGTGTAGTTATACAATAGATGAAACGAACTGGTATGTGTATCACAGTGGATAATACAAAATTCAAAGTCACGTCATTTGTGTAATGAGGAGACATTAAGCAAATATGGAATAATGTCATCAGGATTTAGCAACAATGGGTAGGAGGTCTATGGGAATTCACCGAAATATTTTTTTTAAGTTTATTTATTTTGAGAGAGAGAGCGAGAGCACATGTACACACACACGCGTGTGTGAGTGGGGGAGGGGCAGAGAGAAAGAATGCCAGTCAGGCTTCTCAGGGTCTGCCCAGAGCCTAATACAGGGCTCGAACCCATGAATCGTGAGATCATGACCTGAGCTGAAACCAAGAGTAGGGTGCTCAACTAACTGAGCTACCCCGGTACCCCAAAATGCTTTTATTGTCTATATGTTTGGAGTATTTAGAAATTTTTAAAAATTAAATAAGAAAAAGAAAGCGGGACGCCTGGATAGCTCAGTCAGTTCAACATCTGATTCTTGATTTCCACTCAGGTCATGATCTCATGATTCATGAGTTTGAGCCTCAAGTCAGGCTCTGCCTTGACAATACAGAGCCTGCTAAGGATTCTCTGTCTCCCTCTCTCTCTGCTCATTCGTACACATTCTGTCTCTCTCAAAAATAAAGAAATAAACAATTTTTTTTTAAAGAAAGAAGGTGGAGTGCCTGGGGGCTCAGGTGGTTAAGCATCCAACTTTGGCTCCGGTCATGATGGTTTGTAAGTTTGAGCCCCACATAGGACTCTCTGCTGTCAGTGCAGAGCCTGCTTTGGATCCTCTGTTCACCTCTCTCTCTCCCCCTCCTCAGCTCATTCTCACTCTCTCTCTCTCTCTCTCTCTCTCTCTCAAAATAAACATTAAAAAAAAAAAAAAAAAAAGCAAGCAAGCAATGTTTCTTGCGACCTAGTGGAGTGGGGAGCAGAATGCCCCCCTGGCCCGCAGGGGAGGGTGTGGCATTGGGTGAGGAGGCGAGCCCTGGCCCCCTTGCTTCCCTGCATGGTGCTGTGGGCAGAGACGGCCCCATTTTCCTAATGTTGGAGGCCCAAGGTCAGATGTGAAGATGGTTCAAGCCTTCCAAAACCCTTTGCTAGGCATGGGGCACCATGACCTGCCTTGCCCCCACAGCCAGAGCTGTCCTTGGGGCCTACCTGCCACTTCGTCCTTGACGCTGAGCCAGCCGCATCCCTCCTCCAGGTCTGAGGGCCGTGCAGCATCCTGGATGCAGTAATAGGGAGTTTGGCGCCCGTAGAAGGCATCCTGGATCTGGATGACCTCCCCTGAGCCACAGTGCATGGTGGCATTGAGGCCGTCACAAGCCAGACTCTGGCCAACGCCTGTGACAAAGGGAAGGCGACGCTTAGGGGGGATCATGGTCACGGTTGGGCAAGTGCCTGGTTGACGGGGAGGGGAAGGGTGTCGGGGGTGAGGGCTGAGGTGGAGGGACCCGGCAGGAGTGAGAAATAGACGGGGGTGGGCGTGGGAGTGGCTCTGGAGCCAGACTGCCTGGGCTCAGGTGCCACCAGCCACACACTGGCTGTGTGCTCTGCAAATGCCTTAGCTTCTCTGTGCCCCTCAGCGCAGGGGGAGTGTCCGTACTGCACCCCCACAGGGTCTTTAAGAGGATTACATGAGTTTATACGTGCAGAGTAAGAGCTGTAAGTGGCAACTTGAGTCTTTTCTGAAAACAATGCCTGGTTCGTCACAGATGCTAAACAAGCACCTGTTGAATGAATGAGTGACTTGAGTGTATCTTCCTACCAATCCTAGAAGCTGGGCGACTATCCTCCCCGGTAGGAACATCAGGCTCAGGGGGTCCCCCACCCCACCGCCTCCAGCCCGGCTTCTGGCATGTGGTCTACATTCAGTGAATGTTTGTTGGAAAACAATGACTTGGCTCAGGTGAGCACAGCCAGAAAGGAAACTCTGGATCCAAACTCCAGCCCATCTGCCTGGTGGGAACACCACAGGGTAGAGGATGAGACCAAAAATCTGTGTTAGTTTCCTACAGCTGCTCTCTGTACAAATTACCACCAAATTCATGGCTGAAAACAGTACAAATCTATCATCCTCTGGTTATAAAGGTCACAAGTCCAAAATGGGTCTTCCTGGGCTAGTATCAAGGTGTGGACTTGATTTCTTCTGCCTGCTCCCGAGCCTTTTCCAGAGGAGCTACATTTGTTGGACTGTGACCCCTTCTTCTATTTCCAAAGCCGGCAGCAGCCAGCATCTGCCAGTCTCTCTCTGACCACAGGCAAACCTGGGTTCAGGTCTTACCATGGTCACTTCCCAGCTGTGTGGTCTTGGGCAAGGAGCTTACCCTTTCTGAGCCCCACTGTTCTTAGCTTTATCATAGGCCTCGCCTCAAACAGCAGAGGTGCTTCTATTATGAATAAACGCACGCGAGTCTGTTCCTGGAAGTGCTGCTTGGTGCGTGTTAGCTGTTCATGATGTGACCTTGTACCAGTGTCTCCAAGGCCCTGGGGCCGACAGATTCTGAGACAGGCTCTTGAGTTGGGGTGCACAAGGGGGCGAGGCCCTGGGGAGCTGTGATAAAAAGAGGGGGAAGTTGTATGACCCATAGGTCCCCGAAGCTCCAAGTTTCCAAAATCGGCCAGGCCGGAGAAGTGAACGCTACATGGCACCTGTTTAAAACCAGACGGGGGAAAGGAGGCAGGGGGCCTGTAAGTGCCCAAATCCAGAATGGGCCCCAGGAGCTGGGGTTCTTCACTGAGGGGCTTGGGGATAGGGAAGGGGCTGAGTCCAGGAAGCCTGAAAGCTTCCCTTAAGCCTGGCTTGAAAGTCAGGGGAACATGGGGTAGCTCAGTTCCAAGACCAGGCCCCTATGCCAGGGTCCCTGCATGGCAGGCAGGACCCATCGTGGGGCCATGGGTCACTCATGCCGGGGCTCTTACACGTAGTCCCCAGGGAGGAGTTCCCAGGGCACAAAGGGGGTCAACCATGGACAGCAGCTGGAAAGGACACAAGAATGGAGTGCGGGGACGTTCAGGAGTCAGGGAGGGTGAGCACCGGAGGCTCAGACCCGGCCGGCCAGGGTGGTAGGCGTCGAGGGTGAGTGAGACTAACCTCCTGGGACCATGTCTCCTTTTAGGAAGTCTGGAAAGGCGAGTAAGTAGGGCTGGGTATTTGCCCCCAGATGCAGGTGTCTGAGAGGAAAAGAGGGATGCAGGGGAGGCTGGTAGGTAAGTGGACAGGGAGTCAGGGTTGTGAGCTGGGGAGATGAAACAAACACAGACACAGAGACAGGCGGGCATTTAAGGAGACGTGGAGACAGAGAGACCCAGGGACACCTGGAAAGAGAGAGAAACAGAGACACATGGAGGGGCACAAACACAGACACAGAGACAGGCGGGCATTTAAGGAGACATGGAGACAGAGAGAGAGACCCAGGGACACCTGGAAAGAGATAGAGAGAAACAGAGACACATAGAGGGGCACAGAGAGACAGAAGGAGGGAGACCCCACAACAGAGGCCAGCTCACCAAACTCGCAGATGAAGGCAGACGGCTGCGTGCAGTTGTCTGAGGCCACCCACCCAAAGGAAGCGTCTCTCCCGATGTAACCACAGGCGTCGGGGGCAGGAGAGGCCTGCCCTCCGCGCCAGTGGCTGTAGCTCACGTTTGAGGTGTCCAGCCAGGTCCCCAGCCCTGGGATGGGAACACAAGCACCAGGACTTACAAACGCTCCTCCGACCCTTTTTATGCACAGGGCTTGCCTCAGCTCAGCTCCTGGTGCTGCAGGAGGTGCCCGGTTAAGACCGACAGGCTGACGGCCTCTCTTTCCCATGCCAATGAAGGGGCGTTGCTAGCTGTTACCTTTCAACACCCAGATGTAAGAATTCAACCTAGAAACCGGGGCGCCAAGTCAGGGAGCCCAGACAAAATAGTTTCATTAAGGACATGATGCTTCTAGCTCTGTCTTACCATCACCTAGAAAAGAACACAGAAGTGTGCCTCGGGACATTCGAAGGTGTTCCTGAGAGCAGCAGGGGCCCTTGTCAAATATATTTGGGCACACTCACTTAAAATGGAAATTTTCCTTATGTCCAGAACTCCTCAGTCCCATGAACACACTGATGTGACTCTTGAAGAAGAGTGTGTGTGTGTGTGTGTGTGTGTGTGTGTGTGTGTGTGTATGTAATACAGAGGCATTTCAAGGACACTAGAAACCTAGAAAACACTAAAAAGCAAATTTTTGAAGACTCACAAGTGTATTTATTCATTTTTTAAAATACATATGAATGGTTAAAAATTTTTTAGAGTGAAAAGGGGCATAAAATTAAAACATCACCCCCCTCCCAACCTATGGGTTACTCCCATTACTTTTAGGTATCTTGTGAATTGTTCCAGACTGAGTTTTATCCCTATATCAGCAACTATGAGTGCCTGAAATCTACACAAATGCCATCATACTCCACATGACACTCTGCTTCTTCTTCAATAACATTAAATATTGGGGGTTGTTACATGTCAGCCTACACAGATCTGCCTCATTTTATGTAAAATGAGCCATGTGGTATCCCTTGGTGATTTCAAATAGACACAACTCCTTTAAATGTATAGGAAGTGATGTTCAATATACAGAAATCCACAATTGCTACATCTACAAATCAAGAAACTATTCAATAGATACTGCCTGAAAATGAATTTTAGAATTCAAATCCAGTGGCTATGAGTTTCCTAAAATGAGCGTTCCCAACTGCTCTCTCAGCCTTTCCATCCACTCTGGTATTAAGTGCTTAGCCCAGACCAAGTTATGCATTTCTGAAACCCAGTGGCTTCAACAGGACAATGTGATGTGGCAGGCTGCTGACTCAAGAGGAAGTCCTCTTGCTGTGTTCTCTTGAGCCAACCATTTTCTCCCCCTGGACTTCATTTTCCCATCCATAAAATACGAGTAGCAATGTATACCTCGTGGGACAGGTGCAAAAATTGAATACAAATGTTCATTTGTCCATTTTCTGCTATGTACAGGCACTGGGAAAAGAAAAGTGGCCAGAATGTGGTTCTTTCCCTCGAGGAGTTTACTGTCTAGGAAAGAAGACAGACACCTAAAAACTTAAAGTCATGCCAAAAGTACCCTCTCAGAGGTGTGGACAAGCCCTACAGGTGCATAGAAGACTCAGCGGACCGTGCTGGGGTTGGAGGAAGTTGCCCTCACAGAGTCAAAGGTAAGTAAGGGTTTCTAGGAGGACCATTAAAATGAGACCATCGAATGTGAATGGGGTGGTGCCAAGCTCTTAACCTGCTTTACTCTCATAAGAAATGGGGAAAGCCACATGGAGGTGCTTTGAAAATAGCTTAGTAATTATTTCCTGAGACTCTGTTGTCTCATCTGTAAAAGAGAAGCAACAATATCATCTCACTGGTTATTGTAGGGATTCGAGGTGGTAACAGGCAAGCAGTACTAAGGATAGTGCTGGGCACTATTCTAGCAAGAACTAAAGAAGCCATAGCTAATATTGTTATTAGACACATTCAAACAAATGAACGTTTCCAGAGTGTCCTCTATGTGTCAGATTCCGTGCTAGATACTGTACATGAATCATTTCATTTGATCCACAAAAGAGGAGGGTGTCCTTACCATGAGAAGTAGGATATACTACATTGTTCCATGCGGTTCCGGATTAAGAAGCAATGGTGAGAATTGCGGCCACCAGCTTCCTGTGAAATACAGCTTCCACAGCACCTACCTTCTGTGGTTCCATTCCAAGCCAAGTTTCCTACAAGTCCAATCCACCATTCCCTGTCCTGGGAGATATGCTTCTGCAGAAACTTCTGGGTGTCCTCATCACGAATAAAGACCAAATGGCCCCCTTGCCCCTCGCACCAGCTCTGGGCACCATAGAAGGTGTGGCTGAGAGGCACAAATTCATAGCAAGAGTCTTTGAAAGCCACTCGGCTCTTTGAGCAAAAGCTGCCGTCTTCTGGCTTAGCGATTGCAGCCCTAAACCTCAGAGCAAGCCCCAAGAGGAGCAAGCCCACTGCATTCATCCTTGAAACACCACTGGAGCATCTGGATGGAGCTGGTGCTCAGGTCCTTCTTATGCTTGTGGCTCACAGCTGTCTGCCAGAGATCTTTCCTTCTCTCTTTGCATCCAATAATAGCTCCTACCTCTTATTTAAGAGACGAAAGGCTCAGGATGAATGTGTCTACATTTTTGCTTTCCCCAGCTCTTTGTTCAATGCCTGTTCCAAATCCAATTAATTTGCAAAACAGTCTTCAAGAGAAACATAAAGCCGCTATCTCACCTGTCTGCTTGTCATTCGATCAACTGTTAGCTTCTGATAAAAATTCCTTGCTATTGGTTTGATGTTATTACCCTAGAGGGCCGCATGTCTCATGAGAAGCCATCAGCATGTGAGAAGTATGTGATAAAAGAAAAATGGCAGGAAAGTGGGAGTGATGAGATGGTCAAGGAACCAAGTAGCACTCATCTGCAATCCTATTGTCCAGAGCGACAGCTGTGCCCACATGATAATCACATTCTCCCCAACGTGGCTTAAATCCTAATGGATATGTCTCCCCCTCTTTGGTTCATCACATTACCACTCATGACTGTTGGAGAATACAGATTTCCTACAAAATTGTTTCAGTATCATCATGAAAATAAGCTTTTAAAACCTCAGACCTGCCCATCCTCACCCACTGCCTTAAACCCTCTAGTGGGTCTCTGTGGTCTATGGATCGAGTTCAAGCTTCTCAGCTTTGTATATAAGGCTCTGTATGAATTGGCCAGTGACCATATATCCAAACACACTCCCCAAATGTGGGGAAACAGACTCACTCGTTGCATGGGAGTGTAAATTGGTACAACCTCCATTATGGGCAGTTTGGTGAGATCTATAAAAATTTTATTTATTATTTTTTGATATTTTTAAAACTAATCTCTATAGCCACTGTGGGGCTGTAACTTAAAACCCTGAAATCAAGAGTCACATGCATTACTGATTGAGGCAGCCAGGCATCCCAATATCTCTCAAAATTTTTAAAGCACAAGCTCTATAATGTAGCAGTTCAACTTCTAGGAATTTTACCTACAAATAAATTCATACATGCACAAAATCTCGTACATATAAAGTTATTTATTGCAGAATTTTATAAGAAGGAAAAATTGGAAGCAACCTAAATGTCCATTGATAAGAAAGTGGTCAACAAAATGTGGTACGTCCTCCATACCCACATACAAAAAATGATCAAATTGTTTATATACAAATTTAGAAGGATATCTAAGATTTTTGCTAATATTAAAAGCAAAGTATGAGACATTGTTGATGGTCCAATCCTATTTTTTTAATTTTAAAAATTTATTTCTTATTTTGAGAGAGAGAGAGAGCACGAGCGAGCTCTCTTGCATGTGTGTCAGTAGGGGGAGGAGCAGAGAGAGAGGACAGAGAGAATCCCAAGAAGGCTCCGTGATGTCAGCACAGAACTCAATGTGGGGCTCAATCCCACCAACCATGAGATCATGACCTGAGCCAAAATCAAGAGACGCTTAGTTGACTGAGCCCCCCAGGTGCCCCAATGGTCCACTCCTATTTACACAAAAACATCTATGAAGATTTGTTTGTATGTGTTGAATGTATCTCATAAAGGACTTACGAGAGACTGGCAGTAGTGATTGCTTGGGTCAGGGGTTGGGGGAGCTAGGTGAGTGGGAGACAGAGGAAGGAGCAAGACTTTTGTTTCATTGGACACATTTTTTTAAATTTTTTTTCAATATATGAAGTTTATTGTCAGATTGGTTTCCA